TCCTAGATCAGTGCCTCAAGTTTCATAAAAGGAGGTAAGCGCTACACTGATGTGTTGACTCAGAGACCATGTGTTTTCTTTCTTTAATGAACAAAGAGAAGTTTTTCATTCTGTGAGTAGACAGCACAATCTCAAAACTCATTATTGTGCATATTTATGAAGAGCTCATTAAGAAAAGGATACTCATAGTGGATGTACAACCTCTTCAGGTCTAAATGGGCAGTTAAATCTTTTCTGAAATAAAATTCCTTCTGCAAAAGTGAAAAGCCCTCAGGAAAAAAAAAATACACCTGTGCCCATTCTTGCCCACTAAAAACATTATTTATAGGGTTACTAGAATTCTTCTTTCAAAGTTTATTAACTCCTTGTGGGTTCCTGAAACTGGTTAATAATTTTTGCTCAGGATATTCCAAAAATCTTCCAAGACCACTGAAGTGCTGCTTACGTAAATGAGCCAGTGGTATTTAGTTCAATCGTTTTATTTTCCATAACTATTTTTTTTATCATGATGACCACTGCCTAAATTAAGATATATCCACTTACTGTTTCCTAAAGATGCTGTGTAAGGCGTTCATTCTATCACACAGGGTCCTGTTTAGAATAAACTTTAAATCAGACATGACAGTGCTTCTCCTGAGTGGATGATTTGTCTCTGCTTCATGAGCACTCTGAGTGAGATATCAGTTCATATTCCTTTCTTTAGATTTATAGCTGGAAATCTAACAGTCAGATCTGTGGTCGTTTCCTGGTAAGTATTTAAGAGGTCAGGCTGTTTGGGGGACATTAACTTCATTACTAACTCTACCTCACCTTCTCTTGGCCTCAAATATTTCTTTTGGTCCTTAACTTTATCATCTACTTCTTACCTGTGAGTCTTGTTTAGATTCCCTTTTATAAATATTGTAGAACAATGCAAAGCGGGAAGAAGAAAATGAAGAAATAAGGGAAATTATACATTGTCTGCTTCTTTTGAACATAGTCTTATTATGTGATATACTTTAGAAATATTAGACGTCAATTTCTTTAAAAACTTTCTTTCAGCAGCATTATCTCATAAGCATTTTGCCTAATTTTATAAAGCATCTACAGATCAGGGATCTGGCCTATGTTGTTTTATTATTTAAAAAAAAAATTCCAGTAAATGAGGTTTTCAGTTTACACTTATGAAGTCAAAATGTCAAGATGACTCAAAAACATTAAATTGCAAGTGAACTTTGCAGATTTGATTTGGTAAAGATAACACAAGATTCAGTGAGACCGTGTGTCTACAATCTGCCTGCATGAGCAATCAGATCCATCCAGGAAGACAACATCAAAGGCCAGACCCACACCACTTCTGCAAATACCTGGGGTGGAATTAATGTAATAGAATTTAATAGTTTCCTCAAAAAAAAAAGTCAAAGCATGTGGGAAATATTACAGAGTATCTCCTCTAATGAGAATCTCAGTGAGTCATAATTTGTGGAAAGCATGCACTTCGGGGTGAGGCCCACAACAAATAAGTCTACACAGAGTTCCCACTTCCCATTTCTTTCTACCCAGAGGCAGGATTACTGAGGACAAAGATTCCCTGGTCAGGTAAATGGAAATGTCTTAACACAAAGATTTAAGTTATGTCAAGGAACACATTGGAACCTGATGCATATCGCACATGAACAGCTCTTCACTCCGAGACCTTTCTGGAAGAGATTTGAGCAGTGAACTCCATATGTGTCCAGAAGAAATAAATGTAATGAAATTGGAGATTTATGGAGTTGGAGGATTGAAAGTCTTGGATGTATGATCCAGGTGTTGCAGCTGAGCTAGGATGTGACAATCTCAACCACCCATGTGGGCATTCCACATTCCTCTCTCTTACAAAAAGATCCGTGGTTGAGGAAGATGATGTATTAAAATCAGTCCACACCTTCCTGACCACCACTTGTCATTTCATAGTGTTAAGAAAAGTGGAAGCTATAGAGAGAGATTGGTCTGACCCTCTTGGAATCCTACCTACAAAATCCTGAATACCTTTACTCTGAAATTCCTATGACCATTGGCTATTTTGCTTTTCATAGTAGCTGCCAGTCTGATTGCTCTCACCCTCTTTGTAGCCAGTGCTACAACTGAAGTGTCTGTCTTCCTGCTGCATCAAGATAAGCCTGCATCTTCTACCTGGAAACCTGATTTTTTTCTAGAAAACCCTCTCTATTCCTGGAATCTTGGGGACTCTGGAAATGCCACAATTCATAAATGTGTTTATTTCTGCAGCTCTTTTGCAGAGGTCTCCCAGTGAAGACTACAAGTAGCAAGTGACACACCAGCCCTGAGGTTCTATCTCCTCCTGGCTAAGCCCTTGGAACCAGGAACTGTCCTTTCCACACTTGCTTTACAAGAGCCACATGTAATTATATAACTGCTCTCTGCATCATCTAGGCCACAGGAGAGATCAGAGGTCCATGCTATCTGCATGGCTTTACCCCTCGAAGCCCCTCTAAAGCTATAACTGTGATCCTCAGAACCCTTTAGAAGTCACAGTGTCTGAACCACGTGAATCAGAAATGATAAGCTTCTTGGGCCTCCCCGGTGGCGCAGCGGTTGAGCACTAGGCTGCGAAGCTGCCCGCAGCCTCTGCAGTGCTGGTTCGAACCCCGGCTGCCAGCGAGGGTCCCACGTGGTGCGCAGACCCCTCCTTCTTCTGCACCCACTGCTCCCCTCAGCAGTGTACTTCGTCAGACTGCCTGTTCTGCTCCCCACTCTGGCTCTGGTGAATTCTCTCACCCTCCTGCACTTCTGACTGTACCCAGTGCTTGTATAAATAAATACTAAAAAAAGAAAAGAAATGATAAGCTTCTTCTCCACCTCAGATGAATATCTTCTGTCTCCTACATTATCTCAGCAGCAGGGTAATTATGGTATGTGGGGCTGTGGTAAATATTTTTCTCAGGACCCTATCTTTTATTTTTGTTTAATTTATTGATATTTAAAGTGTTTTATAATGTTCATGGGGATATGTGAGGTAAAGTGACCTTTCCGTGACTATTTTAAATGAGCTGAGGAGTAATACATAGGTGTTTATTGTGCAATCAATGCACATGAAGATTCCTCATCCAGTTCCACCATTCTTGTGGTCCAATTATATGTGATTCCATGAAAAAAATATGCCCCAGCCAGCAGAGGTGATCCAGGCTATCCTCCTGGAACTGGGCCCACCTTAGGGAGCTGGGAAACCCCACAGACAAAAGCTCTGAAGTTCTTGGGGATCTACTCGACCCTACACCTGGGCCAGGACCCATCTGGGCTGTGGCGCAGGCTCAGCGTGCCATGTTCAGACAGCATGCTAGACACCACGGTATCACTTAGAAAGTTTTGAGGATGTAATCCAAAGTGTAAGACCTCATGAGACAGATCTTTCTCAGGGAGTCAGGACAGGCCAATCTACTACATACACACGTGCTCCTTTCTACTGGTTTGGGGGCTAATTTCTTTCAAGTTGTGAAGGCATAAAAATATAAAAGTAAGTTTCAGGAATGAGAATTTTTTTTAAAGGATACTGCTCATTTTTCCCCAGTCTCTGCTCTTCTAGAATCTTCTTTTCCCATGTCTGCTACTGACAATTCTACTCTCCTTGCGACCTGATCTTTTCACCCGAAAGCAGAAAAGATCCAATTGGATGGGCTAATCCTCATCTGATAAATGTTCCGCTTCAGTCACACATGGCCAGAAGAGAAAGATCTGTCACTTTAAAAGCCCATCACCATTTTTCTGAGGCAATCATGTTCCTAGCAGATACTACGAGACTTCAGCAATGTCCAATACAAAGTTTTTGACCATTTTATAAGCTCTCGCTTCCAAAAGCGCAGTTCCAGCTTCACTTTACCATCAAAAATGTGTGAGCATACCCCTTTCTTAGTATATTTAATAACAATGAGGAGACATTCTTACAAATGATCAGCTCTTGTGGTTGACAAAAATGCTAGTGTAGTGTTTAATAATATACATGAAAATTTCTTATTAGTAATATTGGCCAGTTTACCATATTCTTCCTATATTTTCTCTATGGTGGGTGATCTGTTTTGCTTCCTTACTTCTTTGCTTATTTAGAGCCAAGTGTTTTTCCTGTCTATTTGGATGAGTTAATCATAAGCTAAAGGTATCGGTCATTTGTCCTATTTATGGTGAATCTTTTCTTTTTCCCTTCCCCTTTCTTCTTTGCTTGCTTTTAAATATTGGGCAAATTTATCTTTTGATAAGACCATTTCAGAATTTTTTAAATGATCAAAACTATTAAGTTTTTTCCTTTATAATTTATCCCATCCCTTTTATTTTCATGTTTATTTCACAGATTAAACTATGAAAAGCAAAGTTGTTGGTGTTTTTGTTTTGTAGATTTACAAAACATCTCAAATTTCCTCTGGTTTTGCATTATTTTAAATGTGTATTCCCTAAAAAAAGTGAAGTAAATAACTCTGGGATTATTTTCTAGTAAAATAAGAATCTAAGTTAACTGCTTTAACCAGTAGCCTATCTTTCACTTGTATTACTTTACTGAAAAATCTTGTTCAAAATATTTGAAGTTACCCCTTTTCTCTTACATATTTCTATAGAAAGTAGTATTGGGCCTCCCCGGTGGCACAGCGGTTAAGCGCTGGGCTGTGAAGCTGCCCGCAGCCTCTGCAGTGCTGGTTCGATCCCCGGCAGCCGGCGAGGGTCCCACATGGCGCGCAGACCTCTCCTGCCGCCCGCTGCTCCCCTCAGCAGTGTATTTCATTGGTCTGCCTGTTCTGTTCCCTGCTCTGGCTCTGGTGGATTCTCTCATCCTCCCGTGCTTCTGACTGTACCCAGTGCTTGTATAAATAAATAAACAAATCTTTAAAAAAAAATAAGAAAGTAGTATTTGTGTCTCAGTGATGGCTCATAGAGATTGTATGGATTGGCTACTAGTACTAAAGTAAAAAGGTGATATTCACAGGTTATTCAACAAAAAAAAAGCCATGAATCAAAACAGACATTAGTTTGATTTTGTGTCATAATCAACAAAACATATCACATAAAACATATAACTAGAAAAGTCTCCAGCTTTTGCTTTAATTTCACACTTCATACATTTCACAATATTTACAAGATATTCATTTTGATTGCTTCATAATTAAGGAAGGGAGAATCACAATTCTGCCAGATGGTTAAATACATCAGAGGATTTCAGTTCTCAGTTTCCTAGTTTGAAAGAAAGTAAGCAGTTTTTATTCCCAATGTCAATTCTTTATAAAAACCATAGGCTTTGCTTACTTCACATATTAGACATTTAGAATGACATACAAGCCAAAAATAATCTTGTTATTCAGTTAACACTCTTACACTCTTACTTGGCTATATGACAGCTGCTACATTGCTATATTAAAAAATCAATTTATAATAACTTGGTTGTCCAGTCAGCTTTTGTTCTTTGCTTTCTTCCTCCTAGCTACTCTTCTCTCTTCCCTCCTCCTAGCCTTCCTTTTTTTCACTCAGATACATTACATGAGAGAACATTGATCTACACACATCATTAAGAATAAGTGTCCTTGAGAACAATGGCTAAATGAAAATAGGAAAGAAATGCTATATGGAATCTCTTATTATGTAGAAGTCATCACAATCAGACGCTTGTTTGTGAACGCTGCGCTTCAGGAACTGAAACAAGTATTTTTCTTCACTGAAAATCCCAATGTTCACAGGAACAGACAGCAACATAAGCAAAATGTTCCCCATATCACAGAGGAACCACAGGCCTTCCGAGGAGTACTTCAGTGAAATGGAGTCCTTATGTGAAAAGGTGCAGCCGCAGACCTTTGGCCACTGGAAATTTCTGGTACCCACGTTTTGGGATGTACCTTCCTCATGTGGAAGTGGATTCCTCCAACAAACCCACGGCTCTGTTTAGTCATTTTACAAAAACTCTTCAGAGAATCTGAGGTTGAAATTTTAAGCAAACAAGGGATGATGTCTTATGAGTACATCCAGGAAAGAGGATTCTTCATAGCCACAACAACTATTTTGAGGACAACTTTTCCCCCGCGGCCCTTACTAATTTGTTTTGAAGTTATAAGGAAAGACCCCTGGATAAAGTGCTCTTCCAGTTTCTAGTTTCAAATCTGAGAAAGAAAATTTATCGACCTTCAGAAAGATGGAAACTCAGTGTGAAAGTTTGTTTGAGGGCAAATGAGTTGGAATGGCTGTTGTTGCTTTTTTAACAATGTAACTACACAAATGGAGAAAAGTTAAATCATCATGTTAGCAAATCCAGAGTTCGCCTCAGTGATGTGGAGAGCTATGCTTGGTAAAAGCATAAAGGAAATTTAGGAAAAAATAAGGGTCAAAAATAAAAAATCCTACACCACCCAAAGAGTTTGCCTTCCTTTTCTTGATTACTTCACTTCCATAAATAAGGAGAATCAAGGAACTTCAGTCACCTCTATTCTCTCATTTTGTGCCCAAATATTAATTAAAAATCTAAGATTGTAAAATGATTTACTTGTTAGACTAAAGAAAGTAAAATTAAAATTCCTTAAGATAGAAAACGTTTTTTAAAACATGTTTAAAAAGAGGCAAGCTGATTTTTCCCCATTATAGTCATATCAAGAAGTGAAAGAGGATTGTAAACCAAAAATACCTGAAATTTTTATTTTAGTAAGAATATATATACTATTTCACAACTGATGGTTAGATGACAGCACAATCTTTCAAAATCCTCACCTTGAATAAAAAAAGGCATAAATACATAACTATTTGGGAAAAAATTACCTTTCTGTGAGGCACAAGGACAAATGTATTAAAGATGTGTTTTACATTGTTACGTCCACCATGGACACATTAGAGCTTGAAAACTCACCAGTCATCGGACTGTGCCCTGGAAAGTCTCTTTAGGCTATTTATTATTTCCTTTCTATAAAAAATAAGAAAAGAAAGAAGCAGATTAACAATGAAAGCCTCTACTCAGGAATCTGGGTATGCTTTTATGATGGACTCATAGGCTGGTGGAGGTGGTGTGGAGAGGCCAAGGCGGAGACTGTTACTGGACCAGTGGAAATCAGGACGGCTCAGACTGTGGAAGGTGTTGACTGCAGAAGAGGCACTGGAAGTAGGGAGAGTCATCAGCTGACTGTCAGTTTCCACGGGAAGTGGTGGGCTTTGCAGGAATGGATGGAATGTTGAAGCCCTGAAGCTTGATTTTCTTGGAAAGGAATTTGCTGGATCCATGGAAGCTTGTCGCTGGAAGGTGAGGCTGGCCAAGCTGAGGTTGCTTCGACGTTCACAGCCGCTGTGACGGTAAAACCCAGTCCTGTTGAGGCCATGGGTGTAAGAAGACCTGGATCGCCGGCTTGAACTCCACTGTGAGATGGGGGCACTGGCCCTTCTTCGAGACAGACAAACAAACAGAGCCCAAATAAATCCTCCGATGACGAGCCCTATTGCCATAGACACTGTGAAGGATATTATAAGATCCTCTGAAACAAAGGAGACAAATAGGTCATTTGACTTGTAAGAGGGTATTCAACCACAAACACAACTTGGGGTAAAGTCCAAACAATTAACTATTAGAATGCAGGATTAATTTCAACAGATTTTGAATTAGCGAAGTTGAAGATGGTGCTAGGTGGACAGGAAAAAATCAGCTGTAGGGCTCCACTACGCTTGTGTTATTTTATCATCTTTAAGAAATAAGTAACAAATAATCTCATTGTTTAGAAAAGAATATTTTCTTGGTTCATACATTTTTATAAGGTTGTAAATGTAGTCCAAAGTCTATTTCCTCTTGAGTTACAGTGCTTGCTAATGGGCCAAAAATTTATAAAGAATTTCAGTCACACTGACTTTGCGTTTTCCTCTATCTGTTTTCATCAACCCCACTGATGTCTCCCACCTGCAGACTTCATGGTGTCTCACTTCCTGCACCCACTCTGAAACAGGAAGTGCTGAGGAAAAACCATCTGGTGGGTTGACTGATTTATGGTCTGTTTCCTGAGCTCCTGGGGTGTCACCTGTGTCTCTGACACAGCGATGACATGATCTATGCAGACAATTGGGCTTTTTCTTAGTTGCAAGTTCCACTTTACGCTGCTATCACGGCTCTGTTGTGAAAATGAAATTCCTGTTCCCTGAATCTCCATGGAATCTCTGCTAGACAGCAGTATCCTCCAATTCACAGACCTTGTCCAGTTTCCTGTTCTGCGGGGAAAACCCTTTCCCCAAATGGAAATTCTACCTTGGTCTTCTTGTAAATTACAAATGTATTAGTGGATGAAACAGTTGAAAGCCCCTACTTTGAGTGGGTAGTAGATAGATGGATATTAGAAGATACCTCCAGCCTTACCATCCTCTGCATCCCCCACCTCCAGCCATGATCTGATGCACTCTCCCTAAGCCTGCCATTCCCTCTCAAACTCTATTTTTCCATCTATTTTTGCTTCTATCTGGATGTGACTTTAAAATGTCTGCCTGGGAAGCTCATTCTCTGAAACCCATTTCAATTGTTGGATAAAGATTCTTAACTTCCACAAACAAAAGTTGGTTACTGTTGAGTAGAAAAGTAAATTATCCTGTGCAATTGCTTACCCCAGGATTTGCATTGAGAAAACTATATACTGTGAGCTAATTAAGGTAGTGATGTTGAGGACTTGGGGAAAATAGTGGAAGGGCTGCAAATGCTTTAAGTTCTTCCTGTTAAGAGGTAGAGTCTATTTCCCCTCACCCTTGAAGCTGTACTGGCTTCTTGTCATGCTTTGACTAATGGATGCAAGTTCAATCAGCCTAAGCTTGAAGAGGGTTTTCAGCTTCCATTCTGGCTGTTCTTGGGAGCCCTGCAATTGCCAACATAATGAGCAAACCCAGGGTAGCCTCCAGGATGATGAGTGCACATGGCCCAGTTACTCCTATGGCCCTAACCAAGAGTCTTCTACCCTCAAACATATGAATTGACCATCCTACATCATTCAGAGAATAATCAACCCAAAGACTGAGATGACAAATGAGAGAAGACCAGTGGAAAATCCATTAAGCTGATCCCAGCCCAAATTGCCAACCCAAAGAACTGTGATCTAAGTTAATGACCATTTTTAAATCACTATTTTGGGGGGATGGGTTGTTATACAGCAAAGGCTATTGAATTCAGGGCACCAAACTCAACTCTATCCCTAATGTGTTGTGTGATTTTTAGGAAATTTGTTTAGATTCATTGATATTTTAAATGAGTTAGAATTTATGATTGCCTACATTGTTTCCAGTATGTTGTTGTAATCTAGGGCATTATATAAAAAATCTGATATGCAGAAATAACAAAATAATCCAATGTTAATAAATATGTAAGAAAAATTATTGCTCCTTAATTTTGTTACACATTTTAGTGCCCTTCCACCTTATATTTATCTCCTGTGGAAATACTATATTTATTGCATCTTACTTTGACAATTATCTTCAAAAATACTTAAAAGGGCCTCCCCTGGTGGACAGGTGGTTGAGCACCGCGCTGTGAAGCTGTTCGCAGCCTCTGCAGCACCGGTTTGATACTGGCCAGCTGCCGGCGAGGGTCCCACATGGCGCGGCAGACCCCTCCTGTCTTGCCTGCTGCTCCCCTGAGCAGTGTACTTCATCAGTCTGCCTGTTCTGTTCCCTGCTGTTGAATCCTCTCACCTTCCCGCGCTTCTGGCCTGTACCCCAGTTCTTGTATAAAATAAGTAAAAATCTTTAAAAAAAACTTATATCAAAATCCTCCAAAACAGTTGTTTATATCAAATCTACACAATTAACTTTTTATAATAGGAAAGTGATTTCTGAATTAGAAGATGATTTTAAGCAAATCTGTTAGACCCAGTATTTTCCAAAATTTATCTCACAAAAATAATATTGAACTCTAGCTTTAAAATGCAATTTCTTGTGATATGGATTTCACAGTTAGACACTATCTGGAAAAAAACAAATAAATATAGTCAGACCTTAAACTTAGCCTTATTAGTAATAAAGTAACATTCAAAATTAATTTACAATTACCAGTGCCCCAAATATTTGGAACCTTAAAAAAAGAAGTTACAGGAATTCAGGGCTGCCAAGAAAATAGTAGCCCTGTAAATCAGAATTTCCCAAGATTTTTTTTTAAAACAACAAAATCAACCAATAAAACTGTACAAAACCCATGCCTTCAGCATAATGAGAAGACAAAGAATACCCCAGCTTCAAATGACCTAGAAAATTAACAATGAAAAATAGATGGACACCAACACATTATCGCCTATGTTTTTGTTATCCACACACCTCTGAGGTGGGGAGGTGCCATTTTCCTCACCCACACTTACACACAACCGCCCCAATTACAAGTCTTAGTGTGCCATGAACTAGAATTCCTGAGTGGAAGCAGCTGAAAAGGACCAAGGTGGGTATATAAAAGCAGAAGGAATGAAGAAGGGCAGGAGGAGACATGTGGAGGAAAGGCATGTAGAGATATTTGGAAGAGCTGCTTGGAAGAGACCTGTGGAGAAGATGCTTGCGGGTAGGTTGCTCCTGGTTCTTGGCAGAAACAATGGCAATTATCTTGATGTGTATATTTTGAATTTTGACTTTCTTTTCTGCCTCAGCTCTCTTGGGCCTTTCTAACCCCTTTTTAGTAGTTCCCTACTTCTAACTTCTGGCAAGCTTTTGGGCCTCATCCACCCCACTTTGGGCCAAGCCTTTTTGACTGGGCATTTGTCCAAGAGAGAATGGATCATTTTTGGAGTAAACTATTATTTGAAATCCCTTCTCAAACTATTATTTGAAAAGGTATTCTATTCCATTAGGCCAATGACTATAAGAAAGACTTGTAAGGGCGTCAGGAATGTGAAGCTGTGAAGGGCAGTTTTGGGAATTAATCCCTCCTTAAAGAAGGGTCAAGAATCCAGTCCCTAAAGATCACATCTTGTATAGTTGTATTTACATGAAGTGTACAGAACAGGGAAACTATGGAGAGAGAAAGTAGATTGGGAGTCGCCTAGGGCTGGGGTGGGGTGGGAGGAAATAGGAGGGATCGCTAATGGGACAACTTTTTTTTTTTTAGAACGAAATGTTCTGAAATTAGATTGTGATTGAGGTCACCAACTCTGTTACTATAGTAAAAGACATTTGTATACTCTAAGTTCATGAATTATATGGCATGTGAATTACATCTCAATAAAGCTATTTTAGGATTTTTTAAGAAAAAAAATTAAAACAATCAAAGGACACACAATCCTTCCTTCACATCTGACCTTTAAAAATAGAAAGTTAAACCAGTAAAAACACTACACTTTGGCACACTAATGAAAAGAGCGCTCTAGAATGACTCCTGGGGTTCTGGCGTGGGCAGGCCAGGGTGAAATTGGTGTCAGTCATTCAGAGAAGAAAGGTAAGACGGGGAATGAAAGTAAACATGACATTAGAAAATTGTCAACTTTGGGTGCTCATGGGATATTTGTTGGGAGTTAAGTAAAATATTTTGGAGTTACGTAAATGAGGAGTTACGTAAAAGAAGAGCAAAATTGGGTATCTTCAAGCTGTAAGAGAGTTTCAACCAACCGTGCAAAGCACTTAGGAAAAAAGTAAGTGCTGTGTTTGTAGAAGTTATTTGAAAATAGAATTTGAGGAAAATCTGAATTTAATGCAAAGTTGAAAACAAAGAAGCAAAGGAGTAATCAGGAAGGTCAGAGCAGACAGGAATGTTTAGATTTGTAGCCTGAGGGCCCAGAGATATTTACATATTCATTTGTTCAACATATAAAGCCCCCATTAGATTCCAAGTTGTGCTGAGTATATAAATAAGAAGACAAGGCCTCAGTACTGGAAGAGTTTACCTGCTAGAACACTTCAATCAAGGCAAGAACAAAGTCCTATTAGGCTGGCAATCAGGGGTCATTGGGCATTTTGCCCAGAAAAGGTGGAGGTCAGGGGATGGAAAGTCAAGAGTATCCCCTCTCCACTGGGGACTAGAGAGCAAAACTGGAGGGTGGTCTCAGTTACCTCTCAGGAAGGATAAAAGACCAAGGAAGTCTTAATCTCTGATAGACTAGTGGCACAGCAGGGAGGAGAGTGTAGCAGGTTTGAACACTCCTGTCTTGCCTCAGCCATGAATAACAATAGCTCAGTCTGGGGAGTGAAAGAATAGGAAAAAAAAAAAAGTTGGTCATTGAGAAATGTAAGGACAAAAGAATATAAAAAACCTATTCCAATGGATGAAACCATAATCGAAATAAGGTACTACAGTGGTGATGGTGTAAATGAGACCTAGACATAGGAATCTTGTTCCCAAGATTTAAATTATAATGATATTTTTAGTGGTAATTTAATAATCAGACTGAATCATAATGTTTTAGAAAAATTTAGTCTGCTTACATCGTGATATTTACATGCCTTTGACATTTTATGTAATAGTTTATGAAAGAATAGATATACTCAAACAAAAGAAATGTTTTATTTATCCCATAAAAGAAATGCTTTATTTCTT